CCATTTGCCTCCAGTCATTCAACAGAGGCAGACCTGGCTGTATGCAGGGAGAGAGTTAGGACACAGAAACGTTACTTAGGGACAGAGAAACGTTAGTTTAGGGCCACAGAATCATTACTTAGGGCCACAGAAACGTTTTACTTAGGGCCACAGAATCGTTAGTTAGGGCCACAGAATCGTTACTTAGGGACACAGAATTGTTACTCAGGGACAGACAGAATTGTTACTGAGGGATACAGAATTGTTACTGAGGGCCACAGAATCGTTACTTAGGGCCACAGAAACGTTACTTAGGGCCACAGAATTGTTACTTAGGGACAGACACAGAATTGTTATTGAGGGACACAGAATTGTTACTGAGGGCCACAGAACCGTTACTTAGGGCCACAGAAACGTTACTTAGGGCCACAGAATTGTTACTTAGGGACAGACACAGAATTGTTACTGAGGGACACAGATTTGTTACTGAGGGCCACAGAATCGTTACTTAGGGCACAGAATTGTTACTTAGGGACAGACACAGAATTGTTATTGAGGGACACAGAATTGTTACTGAGGGCCACAGAACCGTTACTTAGGGCCACAGAAACGTTACTTAGGGCCACAGAATTGTTACTTAGGGACAGACACAGAATTGTTATTGAGGGACACAGAATTGTTACTGAGGGCCACAGAACCGTTACTTAGGGCCACAGAAACTTTACTTAGGGCCACAGAATTGTTACTTAGGGACAGACACAGAATTGTTACTGAGGGACACAGATTTGTTACTGAGGGCCACAGAATCGTTACTTAGGGCCACAGAATTGTTACTTAGGGACAGACACAGAATTGTTATTGAGGGACACAGAATTGTTACTGAGGGCCACAGAACCGTTACTTAGGGCCACAGAAACTTTACTTAGGGCCACAGAATTGTTACTTAGGGACAGACACAGAATTGTTACTGAGGGACACAGATTTGTTACTGAGGGCCACAGAATCGTTACTTAGGGCCACAGAAACGTTACTTAGGGCCACAGAATTGTTACTTAGGGACAGACACAGAATTGTTACTGAGGGCCACAGAATCGTTACTTAGGGCCACAGAATTGTTACTTAGGGACAGACACAGAATTGTTAGTGAGGGACACAGATTTGTTACTGAGGGCCACAGAATCGTTACTTAGGGCCACAGAAACGTTACTTAGGGCCACAGAATTGTTACTTAGGGACAGACACAGAATTGTTATTGAGGGACACAGAATTGTTACTGAGGGCCACAGAACCGTTACTTAGGGCCACAGAAACGTTACTTAGGGCCACAGAATTGTTACTTAGGGACAGACACAGAATTGTTACTGAGGGACACAGATTTGTTACTGAGGGCCACAGAATCGTTACTTAGGGCCACAGAATTGTTACTTAGGGACAGACACAGAATTGTTATTGAGGGACACAGAATTGTTACTGAGGGCCACAGAACCGTTACTTAGGGCCACAGAAACGTTACTTAGGGCCACAGAATTGTTACTTAGGGACAGACAGAATTGTTATTGAGGGACACAGAATTGTTACTGAGGGCCACAGAACCGTTACTTAGGGCCACAGAAACTTTACTTAGGGCCACAGAATTGTTACTTAGGGACAGACACAGAATTGTTACTGAGGGACACAGATTTGTTACTGAGGGCCACAGAATCGTTACTAGGGCCACAGAATTGTTACTTAGGGACAGACACAGAATTGTTATTGAGGGACACAGAAATTGTTACTGAGGGCCACAGAACCGTTACTTAGGGCCACAGAAACATTACTCAGGGCCACAGAATTGTTACTTAGGGACAGACACAGAATTGTTATTGAGGGACACAGAATTGTTACTGAGGGCCACAGAACCGTTACTTAGGGCCACAGAACCGTTACTTAGGGCCACAGAAATGTTACTTAGGGACAGACACAGAATTGTTACTGAGGGACACAGATTTGTTACTGAGGGCCACAGAAACGTTACTTAGGGCCACAGAATCGTTACTTAGGGCCACAGAAACATTACTCGGGCCACAGAATTGTTACTAGGGACAGACACAGAATTCTTACTCAGGGACAGACACAGAATTGTTACTCAGGGACACAGAATTGTTACTGAGGGACACAGAATTGTTACTCAGGGAAACACAGAATTGTTACTGAGGGACACAGAATTGTTACTGAGGGACACTGAATTGTTACTGAGGGACACAGAATTGTTACTGAGGGACACAGAATTGTTACTCAGGGACAGACACAGAATTGTTACTCAGGGACAGACACAGAATTGTTACTGAGGGACACAGAATTGTTACTGAGGGCCACAGAAACTGTTACTTAGGGCCACAGAAACGTTACTCAGGGACACAGAATTGTTACTCAGGGACAGACACAGAATTGTTACTCAGGGACAGACACAGAATTGTTACTGAGGGACACAGAATTGTTACTGAGGGCCACAGAACTGTTACTTAGGGCCACAGAAACGTTACTCAGGGACACAGAATTGTTACTCAGGGACAGACACAGAATTGTTACTGAGGGACAGACACAGAATTGTTACTGAGGGACACAGAATTGTTACTAGGGACACAGAATTGTTACTGAGAGACACAGAATTGTTACTGAGGGCCACAGAACTGTTACTTAGGGCCACAGAAACATTACTCAGGGACACAGAATTGTTAATCAGGGACAGACACAGAATTCTTACTCAGGGACAGACACAGAATTGTTACTCAGGGACACAGAATTGTTACTGAGGGACACAGAATCGTTACTTAGGGCCACAGAAACGTTACTTAGGGCCACAGAAACGTTACTTAGGGCAACAGAAAACGTTACTTAGGGCAACAGAAACGTTACTTAGGGACACAGAATTGTTACTCAGGGACAGACACAGAATTGTTACTCAGGGACAGACACAGAATTGTTACTCAGGGACAGACACAGAATTGTTACTGAGGGACACAGAATTGTTACTGAGGGACACATAATTGTTACTGAGGGACACAGAATTGTTACTCAGGGACACAGAATTGTTACTCAGGGACACAGAATTGTTACTCAGGGACAGACACAGAATTGTTACTCAGGGACAGACACAGAATTGTTACTGAGGGACACAGAATTGTTACTGAGGGACACCGAATTGTTACTGAGGGACACAGAATTGTTACTTAGGGCCACACAGAAACGTTACTCAGGGACACAGAATTGTTATCAGGGACAGACACAGAATTGTTACTCAGGACAGACACAGAATTGTTACTCAGGGCCACACAGAATTGTTACTGAGGGACACAGAATTGTTACTGAGGGACACAGAATTGTTACTCAGGGACAGACACAGAATTGTTACTCAGGGACAGACACAGAATTGTTACTGAGGGACACAGAATTGTTACTGAGGGCCACAGAACTGTTACTTAGGGCCACAGAAACGTTACTCAGGGACACAGAATTGTTACTCAGGGACAGACACTGGGCACAGAATTGTTACTGAGGGACACAGAATTGTTACTGAGGGACACAGAATTGTTACTGAGGGGACACAGAATTGTAACTGAGGGCCACAGAACTGTTACTTAGGGCCACAGAAACATTACTCAGGTACACAGAATTGTTAATCAGGGACAGACACAGAATTCTTACTCAGGGACAGACACAGAATTGTTACTCAGGGACACAGAATTGTTACTGAGGGACACAGAATTGTTACTGAGGGACACAGAATTGTTACTGAGGGCACAGAATCGTTACTTAGGGCCACAGAAACGTTACTTAGGGCAGCAGAAACGTTACTTAGGGACGCAGAATTGTTACTCAGGGACAGACACAGAATTGTTACTTAGGGACAGACACAGAATTGTTACTGAGGGACACAGAATTGTTACTCAGGGACACAGAATTGTTACTCAGGGACAGACACAGAATTGTTACTCAGGGACAGACACAAAATTGTTACTGAGGGATACAGAATTGTTACTGAGGGACACAGAATTGTTACTGAGGGACACAGAATTGTTACTGAGGGACACAGAATTGTTACTGAGGACCACAGAACTGTTACTTAGGGCCACAGAAACGTTACTCAGGGACACAGAATTGTTACTCAGGGACAGACACAGAATTGTTACTCAGGGACACAGAATCGTTGAATTAAAAAGTATGTGAGACAACACGCAGAGGAGTGACAGAGTAGGCAATGTTTTAGGAGTGAGCAGACGTGGCAGCAGAGGAAGGGGTTGAGGCAGCACTATTCGCAGCCAGAGGCCAGTGCTCCCGGTGTCATCCAGTACAGTGAGGAAGAGCTAACAGAGGGCGGTCAGGAACGGGGGGAGACATCCGCCTCTTCAGCAGCCAGGCGAAGAAGTAGTGGTGAGGAGAGTGGCTCGGTAGCCGGTCTAGAGACAGGTCTGTCTCCTGACCCACACACGCAGCCGAGGGGGCTAGTAGTGAGGCGGAGACCCTAATTGATGATGATGAGGCTGATCGCACTTGGCAGCCTCGTCGTCATCAGGCTATTGCTTCCGCATCATCAGGAGAAGAGGGTGGCAGCTTGGCAGCGAGCAAAACAGTCGGTGGGTTGTCTCCATCGCCACACTCTGCCATGTGCCACTTTCAGGTCTCCTCACACACTGCTGGTGTGTTCAATTTTTTGTCATAGGGTGCTGGCAGATTACGGGCCTCCCATAGCTGCTGCCAGGCCCCTAATCTGCCATGGGCCCCTCTACCGCCTCCTCATGCTGCTGCCAGGTCCAGAGTGTCTCATGCCATGTGCCACTTTCAGGTCTCCTCACACACTGCTGGTGTGTTCAATTTTTTTGACATAGGGTGCTGGCAGAATACGGGCCTCCCATAGCTGCTGCCAGGCCCCTAATCTGCCATTGGCCCCTATAGCGCCTCCTCATGCTGATGCCAGGTCCAGAGTGTCTCATGGGTCCCTTTACGGCCTCCCATTGCTGCTGTCTCCATCGCCACACTCTACCATGTGCCACTTTCAGGTCTCCTCACACTGCTGGTGTGTTCAATTTTTTGACATAGGGTGCTGGCAGATTACGGGCCTCCCATAGCTGCTGCCAGGCCCCTAATCTGCCATGGGCCCCTGTACCGCCTCCTCATGCTGCTGCCAGGTCCAGAGTCTCTCATGGGTCCCTGTACGGCCTCCCATTGCTGCTGTCTCCATCGCCACACTCTGCCATGTGCCACTTTCAGGTCTCCTCACACTATGGTGTGTTCAATTTTTTGACATAGGGTGCTGGCAGATTACGGGCCTCCCATAGCTGCTGCCAGGCCCCTAATCTGCCATGGGCCCCTATACCGCCTCCTCATGCTGCTGCCAAGTCCAGAGTCTGTCATGGGTCCCTGTACAGCCTCCCATTGCTGTTGTCTCCATCGCCACACTCTGCCATGTGCCACTTTCAGGTCTCCTCACACTGCTGGTGTGTTGAATTTTTTGACATTGGGTGCTGGCAGATTACGGGCCTCCCATAGCTGCTGCCAGGCCCCTAATCTGCCATGGGCCCCTGTACCGCCTCCTCATGCTGCTGCCAAGGTCCAGAGTCTGTCATGGGTCCCTGTACGGCCTCCCATTGCTGCTGCTGTCTCCATCGCCACACTCTGCCATGTGCCACTTTCAGGTCTCCTCACACTGCTGGTGTGTTGAATTTTTTGACATAGGGTGCTGGCAGATTACGGGCCTCCCATAGCTGCTGCCAGGCCCCTAATCTGCCATGGGCCCCTGTACCGCCTCCTCATGCTGCTGCTGCCAGGTCCACAGTGTCTCCATTGCTGCTGCCATGTGCCACTTTCAGGTCTCCTCACACTGCTGGTGTGTTCAATTTTTTGACATAGGGTGCTGGCAGATTACGGGCCTCCTATAGCTGCTGCCAGGCCCCTAATCTGCCATGGGCCCCTGTACCGCCTCCTCATGCTGCTGCCAGGTCCAGAGTCTGTCATGGGTCCCTGTACGGCCCTCCCATTGCTGCTGTCTCCATCGCCACACTCTGCCATGTGCCACTTTCAGGTCTCCTCACACTGCTGGTGTGTTCAATTTTTTGACATAGGGTGCTGGCAGATTACGGGCCTCCCATAGCTGCTGCCAGGCCCCTAATCTGCCATGGGCCCCTGTACCGCCTCCTCATGCTGCTGCCAAGTCCAGGGTCTGTCATGGGTCCCTGTACGGCCTCCCATTGCTGTTGTCTCCATCGCCACACTCTGCCATGTGCCACTTTCAGGTCTCCTCACACTGCTGGTGTGTTGAATTTTTTGACATTAGGGTGCTGGCAGATTACGGGCCTCCCATAGCTGCTGCCAGGCCCCTAATCTGCCATGGGCCCCTGTACCGCCTCCTCATGCTGCTGCTGCTGCCAGGTCCACAGTGTCTCATGCCATGTGCCACTTTCAGGTCTCCTCACACACTGCTGGTGTGTTCAATTTTTTGACATAGGGTGCTGGCAGATTACGGGCCTCCTATAGCTGCTGCCAGGCCCCTAATCTGCCATGGGCCCCTATACCGCCTCCTCATGCTGCTGCCAGGTCCAGAGTCTCTCATGGGTCCCTGTACGGCCTCCCCATTGCTGCTGTCTCCATCGCCACACTCTGCCATGTGCCACTTTCAGGTCTCCTCACACACTGCTGGTGTGTTGAATTTTTTGACATAGGGTGCTGGCAGATTACGGGCCTCCCATTGCTGCTGCCAGGCCCGTAATCTGCCATGGGCCCCCGTACCGACTCCTCATGCTGTGACGTTGCAACAAGGTGGAATTCAACCCTACATATGTTAGACCGCCTTTACGAACAGCAAAAGGCCATCACAGATTTCCTGATGTTAAAAGCGGATAAAGGTACTCCCTGTGTAACTTAGATGTCAGCCATTGGCAGCTCATGCGTGACACCTGCGCTTGCTCAGGCCCTTTGAGGAGGCCACGCTATTCGTGAGTCGGCAGGACTATGGGATGAACGACGTCATTCCTCTGTTGCACGTCCTGGAACAAATGCTGTTAACAATGGCTGGTCAGGGTGCGGTAGACGTGGCGCACAGATCTCAACGCCACATGACCCCTGTGGGGGCAGGACAGGAAGAAGAGGAGGAGGTAGAGGAGGACATTGGTGCTCAGGAATTATTGAGTGAAATGGGTGGTTTTTTTCCACTCAGCGGACAGGAGTGGAGGAGCAGGAGCATCTGGTGGTAGAGGAGGAGGAAGAGGAGACAGAGGACCCAGACGCACCGTGGCAGTATGCTGTGGAGATGGAGGCAGGGAGTCCCTCGCATTCCTTGGCACAAATGGCCCATAGCATGCTCGCTTGCTTGCGTACCGACAGCCGAATAATAACCATGAGACAGAGGGATGACTTTTGGCTGTCCACCTTGTTGGACCCTCGCTACCGTTCAAAAATGGTGGCCTTTTTCACACCTGCTGAGAGGGAGGCCAAAATAACGTACTATAAAAACCACCTATGTAGTCAGCTGGTCTCTGCCTGTCTGCGCCAACGTCCATCCTCAGACACTGTGGGCCCTGTGCGCTCGCGTTACGCTGCCATGGCAGCAGGGGAGGGGTGGGGTGGTAGGAGCAGTGGGCTCCAGCTCCACCAGCAGCAGCTGCCTCAGTCTGCAGTCGATGATGAGTAGCTTTCTTCACCAGCGCAGTGAGGAAACTACTAACCAGCCGCAGCAGCAGCAGCAGCACGGGCATCAGGTGGACCTGGAGCAGGACCTCAAAACAACAGGCTTAGGCCTACTTGGACAGCACCCTGCCAACCGAGGTAGACAATCCCCTTGACTACTGGGCAACGAAACTTGACCTTTGGCCCCAACTAGCTGAATTTGCCCTTGAAAGGCTGTCATGCCCGGCCAGTAGTAGCGTGGCATCGGAGCGCGTGTTTAGTGCGGCAGGAGGTATTGCAACTCCACGGAGGACACGACTGTCCACCCAAAGTGTGGAGAGATTCACGTTTGTGAAAATGAATCAGGCGTGGATTAGTCTGGATTTCAAACCACCAGTTCCTGACACAACTGACTAAATCCGCCATGAATCATGCCCCAAACATGTGCCACTTTCAGGTCTCCTCACACTGCTGGTGTGTTCCATTTTTTGTCATAGGGTGCTGGCAGATTACGGGCCTCCCATAGCTGCTGCCAGGCCCCTAATCTGCCATGGGCCCCTATACCGCCTCCTCATGCTGCTGCCAAGTCCAGAGTCTGTCATGGGTCCCTGTACGGCCTCCCATTGCTGCTGTCTCCATCACCACACTCTGCCATGTGCCACTTTCAGGTCTCCTCTCACACTGCTGGTGGGTTCCATTTTTTGTCATAGGGTGCTGGCAGATTACGGGCCTCCCATAGCTGCTGCCAGGCCCCTAATCTGCCATGGGCCCCTGTGCCGCCTCCTCATGCTGCTGCCAGGTCCAGAGTCTCTCATGGGTCCCTGTATGGCCTCCCATTGCTGCTGTCTCCATCGCCACACTCTGCCATATGCCACTTTCAGGTCTCCTCACACACTGCTGGTGTGTTCAATTTTTTGACATAGGGTGCTGGCAGATTACGGGCCTCCCATAGCTGCTGCCAGGCCCCTAATCTGCCATGGGCCCCTATACCGCCTCCTCATGCTGCTGCCAGGTCCAGAGTCTCTCATGGGTCCCTGTACGGCCTCCCATTGCTGCTGTCTCCATCGCCACACTGTGCCATGTGCCACTTTCAGGTCTCCTCACACTATGGTGTGTTCAATTTTTTGACATAGGGTGCTGGCAGATTACGGGCCTCCCATAGCTGCTGCCAGGCCCCTAATCTGCCATGGGCCCCTGTACTGCCTCCTCATGCTGCTGCCAGGTCCAGAGTCTGTCATGGGTCCCTGTACGGCCTCCCATTGCTGCTGTCTCCATCGCCACACTCTGCCATGTGCCACTTTCAGGTCTCCTCACACACTGCTGGTGTGTTCAATTTTTTGACATAGGGTGCTGGCAGATTACGGGCCTCCCATAGCTGCTGCCAGGCCCCTAATCTGCCATGGGCCCCCGTACCGACTCCTCATGCTGCTGCCAGGCCCGTAATCTGTCATGGGCCCCTGTTGTCGCTTGTTGGCATATTCCGCTCGTTCAGATGCTCCTTCTCCTGCTACTCCTCTTCACGGATTCCGTCAGCAGTCTTTCTTGGAATCCGTTTCCAAGAGACAACAGTTTGCGAGCACGCACCCGACGGTGCAGAAGCTGAACGTCCTCCTGTCCAAGTTGCTGCTGCCAGGCTCGTAATCTGTCATGCGCCCCTGTACCGCCTCCTCATGCTGCTGCCAGGTCCAGAGTGTGTCATGGGTCCCTGTATGGCCTCCCATTGCTGTTCAGGTCTCCTCACGCTGCTGGTTGGTTTCCATTTTTGTCATAGGGTGCTGTATGGCCTCCCATTGCTGCTGCCTCCACCACCACACTGTGGCTCCACACTCTGGTTTTGGCCCCGTGACTGCCCCAAAATGAGTGAAGTGTGTGGTGATTCTAAGATCGACGGCACTCATCTGCATGTCATTACTGACTGTCAGTATTATTTCTCTTCCCCAGCAGATTCCAAGGGCATTTAAATTAAAGGTACAGTGTTCTGCACTAATATAAAGTCTCTCTGAAGCCTAGAAACACCCTTTTATAAGTTAAATTCGCAGCGAATATATTCGACTCGAATCAAAATTTTTCCACGAATTCGCCGAATCAGTCGAATCGAATTTTTGAATAATACTTCGCTCATCTCTACTCACAAATGCCAAAGTAAACATTGACCGTATATTTGCAATCTTATCTCATGGTCCCCACTTAGAAGCAATTTCACATGTTTAAGCAAGGCACTGAGGGTACTAGCCTTACTGAACACACTACCTGTAAGTATGCCTGCCAATGGCAAGATCGCTTGTTTTATTTTTGCCCCAAAAGTACTACACAATTTTCATTACATTCAGATATTGGCCAAGATCCTATTTTTTACTGATTTGTTATCTGTTCAGTTTATCTGTATTTGTTTATATTTTTCCTTTTTGTTTCTACTGTTGTGTAATTCCTGATAGTCTAAATGGTTTAACTGACATTTGCATAAAAATGTATTACCACTTTAGGGGCCCCTTGGTTAAGCCCCGATTAATACCGGTAAATATATCTATTCAATGGGTATAAAAATTATCTCTATTATTGTCAATGGCTTGAATCATCCGGCCAAATGTACAAGCATTTTTTAAAGATAAATGTGATATACTCTTTGTTCAAGAGACTTATTTTGTAGATTCGGCCCCTCCTAAATGCTCACACAAAAAGTTTTCACATGTCTATACTGCCAATGCTTCTGAAAAAAAAGAGGAGTGCTCACTGCTATTAGAGATACATTAAACTTTGTTCTTCATAAATATATCTCACACCCTGAAGGCCAGTACCTGATTCTCTTATATGTGATATAGATAATACAGATTACACTATTGTATATTCATATGCACCTAATACTCATCAAAAAAGATACTTTACCAAGCTCTTCAAACTAATCTCCAAAAATCGTTCTGGTTCCCTTTATACTATGTGGTGACTTCCACCTCATAGTTGATAGAAAATAAGACTACTCCAATTACTAATACCCCCCCCTTTCTAATAAATGAAGATGTCTATGAGGTTGGAGGTGTTAACATGCAGGTGAAAGAGATTACACCTTTTTTTCGGTCTAGATACCAATCTTAGTCGAGAATTGACCTTATAATTGGTAGATAAATGGCTACACTTGCAAAATGTTACCCACATCAACCATAGGCAATATAGCGTAGTCAGACCTCGTGCCAGTTTCAATTACTATTTCGGATAATCCACTTATTGAAACCACACAACCTCTGGCATGTAAATTCGTCCATTATAAAAATCCCCAACAATTACTTTTTTTTTTTAATTTAAATATTTATTAATCATTTCAGCAGAAATAACAATAGGAAGATAAAAATAGACAATTACATCTCAAACATCATAAATATAACAATTATTTCTTATTTTCTTCCTTTACCCCCCTCTTAAAACCTTAACCCCTCCTCCCCGCCTCTCCACTCTGCATTTCCTTGTCTTGTATCCAAAGCAAGAATATCCTTCCCATTTTGTTGTTTCTCTATGACATATCTACTTATCACTTTCTCATACTTGTTACAAAATTTTTTCCCATTTTTCCCATTTCGCGAGATATAATTCCATCTTATCTTCCTGAATATAATATTCTTCTCCCTCCCCCCCCCCTCTCCTCAGTCCAGTTTACTCTCTCTATCCACTCCTCCTCTTTCGGTATTTCTTTTTTCTTCCAATACTTAGGGATCAGGCTTTTTGCTGCGTTCAAGTAATACCCCAAACCTAATTTCTTATATTTACTAACTGATATCTCTGAACTGTGTGTAACAAGCACATCCCAGGATCTAACCCGATGTTCATTTCAATGATGTTCTCTATTAAGTATATTATTTTTTTCCAGAATATTTGAATTCTTTGGGCATGTCCACCAAATGTGATAACTGTCCCCACTTCCCCACATCTCTCGCCAACACACGCTGTGATTTTCTCCGCACTTATCTTACCCTCCACAACTCGGACAACAATGTGCCATCTTGTCAAACATTTATAATTTAATTCCACATCCCTCAAGCTTACATTTCCGTGAACTAATCTATTTATTTTTTTCTGTTTTCCTTCATCTAATTTCCACCCCCATATCTCTTTTTCCCAATTCACAATGTGCAATGGTTTAATGTTTGTGTACAGATCTGTGAGAATTCCATATACTTTAGCTTTTATTCCGTGTTTCCCATCACCCCGTGCATCTAACAACCTTTCAAACAAATTCCATTCCTTTTTGGATCTCAGGGGTTTTGGGAGATTTCCCCAAAAACATTTTAATTGATAATAACGCCACTCATCTAACCTAGTGAAGATGTTTCCCTTTTCCTTTTCCAACTCTTTAAAGGTCTTCATTTTCCCATCCCCCATTATATCTCTGAGTTGGACATCCTCCTTTATAAACCATCTACCTGTTATCTCTTCTCTCCCTGGTGTACTAAAAATTCTGTGTTTCTTAGTGGCCATAAGTATAGAATTAAATTCCCATTCATATTTTTGTGTATTTTATCCCATTCCCTTAATACATTTACAGTGTTACAAACTTAAATCCTCCCTTAATCCTCTATATTGTGTCGGTATCCATATTATTCTATCCAAATTAGTTCCACTAAGTGTATTCTCAATTTTTACCCAACTCTTCCCCTCTGAATTAAACATCCAATCAAAAAATCTCCCTAATATTACTGCTTTATAATATCTCTTTATATCTGGAACTCCCAACCCTTCCTTCTTTTTATCTCTACTTAATATTTCGTGGGACACACCCTCGGTTTTTTCTTCCTCCAAATATAATATCCATATTATCATTCTTTTTATTACTTTTAAAAAAGCTTCCGGGAGTTTAATTGGTATCATTTGGATCTGTATAAAATTTTTGGTACGATTATCATTTTTTACCATGGTTTATACGTCGTCTTAACCACGATGGAGTTTCCTCTCTCCTAATGCATTTAATTCCCCCTTTACTTCATTTAGTAATGAAATATAGTTTAGCTTATACACGGTTTATACGACGCGCTAAGCCTTACTCCCAAGTATTTTATATCTCTTTCTTTCCAAATAAAGGGAAATTCTTCTTGTATTTTTCTTGTTCACTCTTTGGGATAATTTATGTTTAAGATCTCCGTTTTTGTTGGATTAATTTTTAAATTTGATAATTCTCCGTATTCCTTCAGCAGCTTCATTAGGTTTGGGAGTGTTATCCTGGGATTCCCCACATAAAACAGCAGATCATCAGCAAAAGCTGCCACTTTATGTTCTACACTTCCTATCTGTAATTCCCCTTATATCTCCATTTTTTCCTTATTGTTGATAAGAGAGGCTCTAATGACAAAAACATATAATAAGGGGGACAAAGGGCAGCCCTGCCTTGTTCCATTTGACATCCCGATGGGCTCTGTTTTTTTCCCATTTACTATTACCACTGCAGAGGGTTTACTGTACAGTTTTCCATATCCATTCCTCATTTCTACCTCCAATTCCCAGGGCTTCTAAGGTGTCCCATCATGAAGCCCCAGTCTACTCTATCGAAGGCCTTTTCTGCGTCCACTGAAAAGGGCCACTACCGGGTACCTCCCCCCTTTTTACCTCTCTGTATCAGCATCAGGGATCTTAACCCATTGTCCCTGCCTCTCTTTCCCGGGACAAAGCCCACCTGATCTCCCATGTATCCATTCAGGCATAAACTCCTTCAACCTATTCGCTAGGGACCTTTGCATATACTGTATCTTAGTATCTAAATTCAACAGTGAAATGGGCCTATAACTCGAACATTGCGAGGAGTCTTTCCCTTCTTTATGTAACAGTACTACATGAGCCTGTAAAGATTCTCCTCTCATGTCCATCTCTCCTCCCAGGGCATTCATATATTTTTCCAATTTGGGATTTATAATATTTTGCTAAAATTTTTTATAGTACCCTGCTGTATACCCATCTGGTTCCTGGACTTTTCCCCATCTCCATGTTTTTTGACTACTACCTTTATCTCTTCTTGTGTGATCTCTGCTTCAAGGGAATTTAGTTGGTCCCTCTTTTATTTTTGGTAATCCCGCATTTTTTAAATAAGTCTTCCTTTTTTTCTTTTTTTCTTTCCTTTTCCATATTATTTATTTCCTCGTATGGGATAATATTATACAACTTCCTATAATAATCCACAAACATCCTTGCGATCTCTTTATTTGAGTGGACCAATTCTCCCTTGGGGCTCTTTATTTTGTCTATATAATTCCTATTTTTTTTTTCCTTAAGGATCTCATTAGATATTTTCCTGGCCTATCTCCCCCATTTATAATTTTCACTTAATACTTTATTATACACTCTCCTTCTCTCCTCTTCCATCAGAGTTTCCAGTTCCTCTTTCTTTTTTATTATCTTGTGCTTAATTTCTTTTACCATTCTATTTTTATGAGTCTGTTCTAACTCCGATATATCCTTTAAGATCCCACTAATTTTTTCTCTTCTTTCTCTTTTTTTTCTTGCCCCTATGTTTGCAATCAGAATTCCTCTTATATATGATTTGTGAGACTCCCATACTGTTGCCTTAGACACATCCTCTGTCTCATTCTCTCTAAAGAATCTCTCAATTTTCTTTCCCAATCCTTTGTGCAATATCCTTGTCCATGAGAAAGTGCCTCATTCAGCCTCCAACCTACGCTTCTGTTCTCCTCTTTCCCCATCCCATCCTCAATACGACCGGGGCATGGTCCGAAAACGTCATTACTCCTATATCTACTTTAACCATTGAGTCTATAAAGTGATGTTCTATTTCAATACATAGTCCAACCTTGATATACATCTGATGTGCATTAGAGAAGAATGTGTAGTCTCTATCTTTCATATGCCCAAGATTCTCATGCATCTACCAATTGGCACTCATGGATCACCTTCTTTTTAATAGTCTCAAAGATCTACTCCCCTCTCGCTGCACATTAGAAGTTGTATCACTTTGTGGATCCATACAAAAATTAAAATCTCCCGCCACTATTATACAACCCTCTTTAAAATCCATCAACTTTTTTAGTACACCCTTCAAGTACTCCTCTGGTTTTTTATTTGGACAATAAATATTAGCTACTGTACACTCCACCTCTTGTATTTTACCTTCGAACAAAAACAAATATCTCCCCTCTGGGTCCACTTTTCTATCCTTCAGTTCAAATCTTATATTTTTTCTGAACCTATTGCCACACCTTTAGCTCTCTTAATCGGGGAATCTGCATAATACCATGTTGGGTACTCTCTAGATTTTAAACTTCACCTTAGATTCTATCTCGAGATGTGTCTCCTGCAAAAAAAACCACCGAAGCTGCTTGGTGATGTAATTCCTTAAATAACCTAAATCTTTTCCCAGGACAGTTCAACCCCTTCACCATTATAAGTGATAACTTGTAAATCTTCCATCCTTTTTATATCCTTTCTTTTTCCCTTCTAACTGGAGATCTCCATAACTATCCTCCTTCTCTTTACGCTTGCTTTTTTATACTCTCTCTATCCTGTAGAGTATTGCCCTTATTATCCATTTCCCTCCACCCTAACCTCCCCAAAACCCCCCCCCTCCCTAACCCTCATCCCCCCTCTGCCATTTCCCCCCCCCTCCCTCCCTCCCACCTCCCCACCCCCCCAGGCCTCCTATGTCTTTGGATCACATTCCACTTTTGATCCCTATATAGGGGTTTCGACTCTGCCATGACCGCTTACCTTCCCCCCCCTCCTCCCCAATGTCCCCTTATCTATTGATTCTCTATTTCCTCTTTTAACCAGCTGCCACTTTCCTGACCCCACCAATATCCAGCTCTCCCTCCTCCCCTTCCCAACCAGATATCACTTGTCTCTGCAGTCCAAATTTTATCACAAAATTCTTCCATATCCTCCGAGAATCTTAAGATAGCTGTAGTTCCATCCCTCCACCCAATTATGGCTTAAATCACGGCTCCATCTGTATTTCACTCCTTGTTTTTTCAATCGCTTCCAATAGGGGTTTTAGTGATCTCTTCCTTCTCAGAGTTTCTGCTGTCAAGTCTTGCAAAAATGTGAATATTTTTTCCCTTCACATATATAATATTTGATCTTCCTTTAATCTTTTTCCATATCTCTTCTCTATCTCCATAATTGTGAAATTTAACAATTTATAAATCTCTTGGTTTTTCTACCCCATTTCCTTGTTGATACTTCCCAATCCTGTATACTTCATCCAGTTTAAAAACATCTCCTTATACCCCGATTTATCCATTATAAAGTTCAAGATTTTGCCAGATAGCTCTTTTAGATCTTCCCCCTGTGTCAATTCTGGTACTCCTCTTACTCTGATATTAGAATTTCTCCTTTCTCTATTTTTTCTTGTATTTCCATCCTATAAAGCAATCTCTTATGTTCTTTTCTATCTTCAATTATCCATTTCTCTATCTTTTTGGGATGGTCTGAGCTTTGGGCTTGTACCTTCTCCTCCATTTCCTCCACCCTAGTTAACAATTGTCCCAGATTCTTCCCGAATCATCCCCATCTCTTGCTTTATTGAATTTTTCCAAACCTTTAAAACATCTCCGCCATTTCTTTTTTGTTAGGTATTGGCAATTGCATGTATACCTTTCCAACCCTCTCTTGGTTCCATACCTTCCCATTTGACTATTAGGTATGTTTATACTGGGCCCAGGGAAAGTCTCGGGGCTGTTATCAGAGACTTATTTCTGATTCACTTTTTTCACTTATTCCCTGAGATCTTTCTGGGGTAACATTTCACACTCCCGTTTGTTGACACATACTTCTCTATCGTCTAGGACCCCCACGTTAATATCGTTAACATATAACCCGTTTGGGTTGTTCTTAGGCCCGCTCCCCCTTTGTGAATTTTTACCTCTTTCATACTGTGGTTGGAATTTTTTAAACTCTTATTTCATAGAAACTCCTGTTCTCTTACTCCTCCAATCTTCAGACCTGTCCTAGGAATCCCCCTATTTTCTTTTATTTTTCAGATTGAGAATTTGAGCTCGGGCACTGTGTCTTTAGTCCAGGCACCTAGCAATCTAGGGCAGGAAACTCAGTATATATAAAAAGTCTAATATTACACAACCAATGTATATGCAGTTGTAAAAGAGGATCTGCAGGAAAAACCTTGGTCCTCACTCACCCCACCCGTTGGAACCTCACTTCAGAAGCAGTCCTCCTCTGTGTTTGAATCCACAATTGTCTCCTATTGAAGGGGATTCCTAGGGGTCTATCTCGTAGCTCATATAGCTTATCTCCCATCACAAGTCCCCTTAGATTAGATGTTGATATGCAAGTTAATTGTTGAGTAGAGAAAGGAGTAGTATGGGAGTTAGGATGTTTAGCCGTATTATGAGAATGAGAATGGTAATATATACTTATGGAGCTGTAAAATTGGAAGTGATATGGAGATGATATGGGGATGGTGTGGAGTTAGGGTGGGTGTAGGAGGCAAGGATGATGTTATGTTTATATGAAGGTTATATCTATTGTGGGGACAGTCCTTTACCCTCAGCTCACTTCACCCACTTGCTGAGATGCCGGGCATTCATTCTCTTTCACGGAGATCACAGAGCTCCTCCACGGCTTTCCAACGTGTCGGCGTCAGTGTCAGCGTCTCTCCAGTGTCCCAGGCTGACTCACTCGACATCTTCCTGGCAACCCTGCTCCTCCTCTGAAGCCGCCGCCGCAAGACGCCAGGCACCAGATGAAGCCACGAGGCGTCCCTCTCCCGGCTCTCTCCTGGTCCCAGGCTGCCCGATCGTCTCTCAGGCAAACCCCAACTCTCCTCAGCAGCCCGCCGTAGAGGGGAAGACCCCGGGGTGTCTTTCTTCCCGGTACTCTCCCGACACCCACACAGGCTCTCCGACCATCCCCGGGACTCGCCGGACCGACCCTCTCCAGCAGGTGTAGTCCCTGCACTCAGTGTGCAGCTGGTCCCTCTGACGTGAGGCCTCATAGGGAGATAGCATTAAGGGGGAGTGCTAACGGAGAGTGCTTAACACTACACCCTCTCCCGTGCCGCCATGTTCAGGCTCCACCCACAAACGACCCCAACAATTTCTTGATACTTGAAAAATATCTTGAGGAGTTTAGTTCTTCCATATAAATTTTGCAATCTGTATCAAAACTCTGGCACCTGGTGCGTTCACAAATCATTTACGTTGTATTATTATTTTACAAATGTGCAATAAGGCTAAATAAAAAGCAAAGAAATAAACAGCTTAATGACTTACTACAGGATATTTGCAAACAAATGCTAAATAAAGCTCAAATCGATCAAACCATTTCGAATACACTCATCCAGACTAAGGAAACGAATTACGTTCCTTACTAATGTACCAATTTGATAGAAGTATGCAAAGATTAAAACTCAACAAACTACTCTAATGGAAACAAAGCAAGGAAATACCGTATTTTTCATGTTTTCGCTCCATAAGATGCACTTTTCCCCCCAAAAAAAAGGGGGGGAAAATGTAGTGCGTCTTATTGGGAGCTTAAAATATGGAGCGGCCAGTCCGGTATTTCCGTCACCATGTCAGAATACCGGGCCGGCCGCTCGGCTCTTCTCTGCAGCAGGACCTTACCTGTTCCTCGGTCCAGTGCTGTACAGTCTTCTCGCGCCAGCATTTCTAGTGTGGGAACCTGGCTGTGACAGCCGGGTGCCCACTGCGCATGCGCAAGAAGCGCTGCACTTTGTGAATGGCCCAGCGTCTTCTGGGACCTGTCATGGGGCCATTCACAAAGCGCAGCTCTGCTCGCGCATGCGCAGTGGGCACCCGGCTGTCTCCTGTACTATCTGCAGTCTCTGGTCATCTGTACTGTCTGCAGTCTCTGGTCATCCCCTGTACTATGTACGCAGTCTCTGGTCATCTCCTGTACTGTGTCCGCAGTCTCTGGTCATCTCCTGTACTACGTCCGCAGTCTCTGGTCATCTCCTGTACTGTGTCTGCAGTCTCTGGTCATCTCCTGTACTATGTCCGCAGTCTCTGGTCATCTCCTGTACTGTGTCTGCAGTCTCTGGTCATCTCCTGTACTGTCCCCCTTTGTAATGTACAGCGCTAAGCGAAACCATTGGCGCTTTATAAATACTGTATAATAATAATAATACGCTAAAATTATAGCGTACAAACTGGCCAATATACTCCCAGATTTGATAAAGCCTGATCAGTTAGGATTTACTAAAGGTAGACAAACATCTGACACAACACGGAGACTAATTAACATAATTCATTACACAGACTCACATAAAATTCCCTAATTATTATTTGCTCTGGATTCCAAAAAGGCTTTTGATAGGATACACTGGACATACATGTTCCAAGTGCTGCATGATTTTTAGGAACAATTATTAATGCTATTTCAGCACTTTACTCAAATCCTTCTCCCCAAGTCTATGTATCTAACATTCTATCCAAACCATTTTTAATTACGAATGGTACTAGAAAAGGATGCCCATTGTCGCTACTAATTTTTAATCAATTGAACCTCTTGCTGAAACTATAAGAAACAATCCAGATATACATGGATTCTATATAAGTAAAAACTACCACAAAATAACACTGTTTATGGATGACATCATTTTAATTCTAACTAATCCCTCTACTTCTTTAGCAGCAATTCAACAAACTCATACAATTCAGTAATATTTCATACTAAAAAATAAATGCATCCAAATCTAATATCCTAAATCTAGGTGTAGATTTGGAGGTGCACCTCCAAAACAAATTTCCCTACATCTGGGAAATGAAGTCATTCCTTATCTTGTAATATTGTTAACAAACAAAACCTCTGACCTAGGAACTCTCAATTATTCTAAATTCATTCCAAAAATTCAAACCCACCTTAATCAAATGACTAAACATGAATTATCCTGGTCTTGCAGAATGGCCGCATTTAAAATGTTCATATTGCCACAGATTTTATATCTATTTAGATCAATTCCAATCCCAATTAAATCTTCATATCTAAAAAAACTACAATCTATGCTTAAAAAATATGTCTGGGGAAATATGAGACCTAGATGCTCACATAATATATTAATCAAACACAAAAAAATAGGAGGAATGAGAATTTGTGGACATTAGGGACTATCACAAAGCATCATTATTGGACCAACTTAAACATTTACCGTATTTATAGTGAAAGATGATACAAAATGGGGTGACACTGAAACAATTCTAGCCTCTACTACAGATTTAAGCGCCATACTACTAGCTTCGTGGCAAAGGATTCCCACTAGTAAAACAACACCAACTATACAAGCCTCAATTGAAGCCTCAATTAAGCTCCATGTCTATAGATCCTCTCCGAATAAGTCCTCTTCCTATACCTAAACAGCCTAAGAAGTTGTAATGCCTAGCATAGATATCTCGAATTGGAAACATAATGACATACGCACAATACAAGATATTTGTGCTAAAAACGATATAAAAAACTTTCACAAAGAATTTAACCTCATCCCTTCTGAAAAATCAACCTATACATTCATCTAAACAACCAGTAAAAACAATATATATACCCAAAGTTTCTTTACAGTTCTATAGCTCAGCTACTCCTAAATCAGGTGGTATAACCCTATTTTTATAGCCTTCTACAATATAAATCAGAATGTAATAAGACTACTCCCTTATTCAAGTGGGAAAAAGACTTGGAGACTGAAATCTCTAATGAGCAGTGGGAATGTGCATTCGAGAATGTGTTTTCAGCTTGTAGATATGTTAACTTTTGTGAGCTAACGCACACAATTTCCACAAGATGGTATCTAACTCCAAATAGCCAAATTCTCAGAACAACATAGTCCTCAACGCTGGAGGAGAAACTGCGGTCAGATGGGTACTCTATTACATATATTATAGATATGTAAAAATATTAGAAGCTATTGGTATAAAGTATTCCACATGATATCGGAAAATTACTGGGATATTAAAACCAGATCCTACCCTAGCCATTTTGAATATAAATATAGAGACATATCCAATCCATTATCGACTCTTAGTGACACATATTCTTCTAGCATCAAGACATACCATTACTAGACACTGGAAAAAAGACTTAGCCCCTTCTCTAAAAGAAGTCCAGACCCACTTCACCTACGAGAAATCTTTAGCTTACCTAAACAATAGAATTACTAAATTTACCAAAGCTTGGAAACCCTGGTCTACTGGTTCAGAACTGTAACCTAAGATATTATTATGTTTAACCTTTTTTTGAATACTCTAAAATGATTATTTTGTGAAACTAGTAGGACTGTTAGGAATTATTCAATATTTCCTTTTTTCTCTTTGTTAAACTTTACTGCAACACTTATATTGTGAAAGTACGCAGCTTTTGAGGGGAGGGCCGATCATGACAGTTCAAGTGAAATTATCAAAAGGGACCAGCATGATCATTTTTCTTGTACCATAACAAAAATGAATTATGGAAAAAAAAAAAGAATGTTAAAAAAAAATGAAAAAAAAAAATTTCATTCTATTTGGTTTTACAAATATAGTTACAACAACAAAAAAAAAACAAAAATAGGACAGTGAAAAGCTACACATTAATGATTAGATTATAGGACAATCGCTCCAAAAAGGGTGTTTTTCATCCTATTCTTTCATCATGTGTACTAAGCTAACAAGGTGGAGATTTATTACCTGTGTCAATGTTGGGGACAATAACAGGGCAAGAAAAGATGGCATATCTTCCAGTGGGGGTACAGACAAGAAGACGGATACAATTTCTGACAATGTATTTATGAAAAAATATATGGCATACATATGCACTCAATATCACCCCCTACCAAAGGCCCAAATAGTCCAGTGCTCACATGTGAAACAGTCAAACCAGGCTGCTTATCAATTTTTTTTGTTTCAGATCTGCAGTGTAAATAGTCTTTTTTTTAGTTTTAGCTTCCTTCCCAAAAAAATAAAAAAAACAATGCAAGAGTTAAGCTGTAATTTCCAGCACTCATGTTCTTGAAAGTGGGTAAATTACATTTGATTCCTGTCCAGTGGTCCCTTGCATTCCGTGTCTCTGCATTCACTCAGCCAGTTTGGGCTTTATTATTCAAAACAGAATCAGTAAGCAAAAAATATCTAGATATATTTTAGCAGAGACGCGAGGGATTTGAGGACTAAGCCTGACCAATCTCCATTTGTGCATATCATTCAGCCTGCCGGCGTACCTTCAGTAGGTTTAAATGAGAGAATGATAAGCCACACCATGTTCTCAAAGATTATTATCAGCATTGATGGGTCATTAATAAACATAGTGCATTAGGTTTTCTGAATGTTATCAGATCCCATCATTCCTCATGACTAATCTGAAATGAAAGCAAAGAAAAAAAACATTTCCACTGTGTTTCTGATACTCCTGCCCCTAGCTGTTTATCTGAAAAGAAAAATAAAGGCAGTTAATTTAAAGCCAGAGCCTAGCACCATAATTTACTCCTACCCAATCCCCCATAGCTGACCCCTGTTTATATTTGAAAAAAAGAACAACTTCCTACCTTAATCTGTGTTTATGTGATGCACTAGGTTCTGAGTCTTCTATCTTCTGGATTGCAGAGTGGGAGTCTCCTTCTTTGGGTGTCCATTTTGTTTTCATGTGGGGAGGACACGTCCAATTAGCCTTTCATCGGCAGGGCCCTGAGTAGACATGTGCGTGCCTGGAAATTTTCATTTTGTTTTGAATGCATTTGTTCATTGAAGTCATATTTCTTATGTTGAACTGAATTTTGGAATTAATTTCATATCTTCGGCACGCGTTTCGTATATTCATTGGATTCTAAAAATGTTGCAGTTTTTTCTGAAGATTGCTATATATTGGTTTTTGGTTTTGATATTTTAGGTGGATTCTTTATTCATATGTCAAAACTATTCGGAAGAATTCAATATTTTCAGACACAACAGAGTTGTATAATGCAAAATTCTGCAGCCCTGAAATTTTCAAGAATTTCATTAGACTGTGGAACTGAACTGACTGACTTTGACAATTACAAATTCAATTTAAATCACAAATTTGCTCCAAATTATTGAACAAATTTGATTATTGAATTAATTTCCCCATAGGCCCGTACTACTATTGAATCATGCGACATCACCTGAATGAAACTAATAAAACAAATGCTTTCATCCATATCGTATCACTTTTTTGGGATTCATTGCATTCGTTATGTCCTTTCGGAAATTCGTATACATCGGAATCTCCAAAAATCAACTTTTCATTCGAAAATTGATCTGTAATGAAAAGCACATGTCTAGCCCTGAGGATCCCAGCAATGGCATGATGATGATTTCATGAATATAGATGGCAATAAAACCAATGGATGGCAAGCATAAACTGCAGCAGGAGATCACTAGTCCTTACCCCCAGAAGAAGACCAACAAGGGTCACATGTTCTTGGATTCAGATGGGTGAAAACTGCTTTCAAGAGATTTTTGTTTTTTTAAAGGTGAAGGGTGGAAGCAGAATTGGGTGAGGGTGAAGGAATTGGAGGGTGTTAATTTTGACCAAAGATTGACAATACAGAGGGATTTCTGTTTGTACCATATTATTTTCATCTGATATAGTTAGGTGTGCATCTTATACAAACCAGGGCAGTGGGTATTTGCCTTTAAAGAGGAATACTGCTTAGACACAATTAACATTTCTGGATGTTCCACTTTAATAACTTGAAGCACTGTATTTGTTGTTCTGGGTCTTGAATAATTGCAACTCTAACTTTTTTAATCTTTCACACATGTTACAGTCTTTATGTTTTGCAAGAACATTTGTTTAAAACCCAACAAATTATATATTTTCTGATAATGGAGGCCTTGTAGAATAATATGGTGGCAGTTGCATTTTTTTTATATTACATGATATTTGTGCAATTGTTTATCAACAATTTATGTTAGTAAAATATACACTAAAATTGTTTTGGCACAAACAAACGCTATATAATACCCATATATTTGGTAGAAAAAAAAAGATGGAGCTGTGTTGAGTAAATAGACACCAAACATGTTTAGAAAAGTGTGTGTGAAGCCAAACCTTTTTTTTCTAGATTTGGATGAAGTGAAGAATAGGGAAATTGCTGCTAAATAATGACTT